TCTTTATTGACTGTTTATATTTCAGGCAACGTTTTCCTTTTTCAATATGAGAATTGTGAAACAACTATGACAATAAAAGTTCTGATGAAAAACAGTTTATTTGTTCAAAATGGTGTTTGTTTTTCATTACAGGAGGCAATATATACCTCAAATTTATAATGGAGTTCATGAATGAAGTTTATGAAACTTCGTGACATTTTTTAGCTTATTTTATAGTTTGTCTTTATATTTGTTTTTTTTTCAGATCAGATGGGTGGAATTTTATAAATGTTGAAAATAATTCAAGTATTTCTCTACATTGCATAAAGACAATATTATATTCCTATTTTTTGAGGATACGTATTTTTCATTTTTATACATAAATTAACACATGATTTTCTTCCTGAGATTTAAAAAAATTCCTACTCACCCGCACAAAATACACTGCGCCAACACTTACGAATGCACTAGGGGACCAGCCAGAGGTTGTTAACTTTGTTGATGGAGATCGGGCCCGCAATATTATTTATTCCACGCACCTCTTTCTTTTATACGCGCGAAGATGGTTGACACTTTTTTTGTGTCATCGACCACGAGATTATGGAATATCATCGCGCTTCGCCGATGGCAAAAGGTAAAAAAAGCGATTCCTGCTGAGCTTCTCTGCTGCACACCCTCGGAATTTCGAGTCGATGCGCTTTTTGTGACGAGATTTTCTGGTTTCGTTGAACTCTGTAGATTCCGAGATTGGACTGTTAGTGGCGTCCACGAATACGTAAAAAAGGCATTCTTTGGAACTCCTCAGAAACAGCTTCGACTTTGATGATTTTTGAAACTAGAAATATTGTGAAGCAGAGATATAATATACATACAGGGTGGCAATTTGAAAACTTACTGAGCAACCAAATAAAATACAGGGCGTTCCAACGGAAACTCAACCCCCCCCTGTAAGTCAGAAACGGACGTGAAATCGAAAATTTCAAAGAACACGTCAATTTTCATTTCTAGGGGGGACTAATTCTTATATGGACATCATACCCGAAACTTCACCCCTCTGCGGTCAGCAACTACCCCCCTATTTTTTTAAATGGCATTGGGGGTCAAGTGATATATCATTTGAAAGGTCTTCTGTCTCTCTATTACTTTTGTGATTTTTTTCGAAATTGGTTCATTCGTTATTGAGGAATTGAATGTTGAACGTTTTATTTAAGAAAAAACAGAAAACTCGCTGTCGCTCATTTTATTGACGAAATCAACGAAAGGATTATCAATGACAACACAATCAACGGATAAAGTGTTGAAAATGACCTCAATCTAGTTCTATACAATAATACAGTCTACTTTCGAAAGCGTTCCTTACATTATTGGACATGTCCGGAGTCAGAAATCGGCATTCCCGAACAATTATCTGTCGCAGGACTTCTAGATTTGTAGAATTTATTTCATTAGTAGTAAACATTTTGAAATGGATCACACTCTTAGTTTTCTCTGCACTGGTAGTTTCTGTTGTATCTAGTTGTCGCAGAACAAAAAATAGATAGTTTGCCACTGTCACTTCTTCACGAATTATATTATTCATCCATTCTTGTTCACTGTGTTTCAACATGGTTTATTCTACTGAAGAAAGAATATTAATTGCTGCAACCCATTATCGAAATAATGAATGTACTGAAGCTGCTGCAAGAATTTATAATACGAATTGTTAGGTTGATAACATCTCTGCAACTAATAACCTCAAGCTGGTTGTTATATCCTGTTCCTATTCTGAATATTGTTGTTGTATAGTGTGTGTATGAAATTCAACAAACCCTCAGAATTCGACGTCAATGCGGATAACATCTCCGAGAGCTTTAGAAGATTCCGGACTGAAGTAGAAGTTTATTTTGTAGCCACAGAGACTGAAAAAAAATCACGAGAGGTCCTAGTAGCGACGCTGAAACACTTATTGGGATCCAATGGATTAAAACTTTACTCCACAATAACATTAGAGCCAGGTACAGAAACAGTTAATTCAGTTTTGGATATTCTTGAAAAGCATTGCACCCCACGAAAAAATGAGACAATGGTGGTTTATAAATTTTTTGGTAGGAAACAAGCAGCAAATTAACCATTTGAATCCTATTTTACGGATCTAAAATCACTAGTACTACCTTGTGAATTTGGTGAACAAGAAGAAAAATGGTTGAAATCCCAAATAATCCTTGGACTATATGACAAAAGTATTCAAGGAAGACTTTTGAGAG